CATGATGCAAGGAGAGAGTGGGCTTTTATTTTTAGATTTATTTGAATTTTATGGCGAATTTCATAATTTCCATGATTGTCAATTTGAAAAAACACGTGACTTTCCATCACTAAATGGCTTCAATGAAATTGAACTGCCTAGTATGTCCTTGCTAATATTTTCCTAAAAAGAAAAGTGACAGCACTACAGAACTGTCGCCAGCTGCTTTCCATTAGGAATGTGGTTAGCAGATGTGGGTTTTCATAGTCATAATGCATGAGATGGTTAATCCATTTTGCGGGTTTCAGATGCACAGTGATTTATCTTGGCAGGATGAGTTTTAAAATGTGCTTGCATCAGCCAGCACATACATGCACCTTTCTCTGTCTCACTGCGTATTTATGTTGGAGAGAAAATACATTGCAGCCTATTTCTTTCAAGAGATAGAGTAGTGCTACCTTTTGATTTCACCATCTAATAATTAGGGAAGATTTAAGATAATTTCCCAACTTGAATGTTGACTAGGCTCGCTCTCAAGCTCATGTCTCTTCTTCGCCCCTTCTTTTCATAATAATCCAGTGGCTCCTGCTTGGGTTGTTCTGGCATCACGCCTCCTTTGTGGCAGTGACCTTCAGGCTTGCTAAGGGCTGCAATTTTGCCTGGGGCCCTCCTTCCTTATAAAATTAAACAACACTCAAGCCTTGGAACCAGCCCCAGATTCACTAATTCTTTCCTTTGACGGACTCTTGGCAACATATACTCCGTTTCAGTCTATCCTGAGCTTTATAGGAGACCTGTTTGTCACCAGGGTGAATCTGGCCATTTGCCCTTTAAACCTGGAACCAAGTGGTATCATGGGAAGACCCACTGGGGGGTCAGCAGCTAGGAATAAAAGCACTGCAGCTGGTACTCCCCACGCCCCTGAGCACCTACAGTATCATCTGTATTTGGAGGGATCTGAATTCCTTGACCATTGTCTGTTGGCTAGTTGATGGGCAATGTAGGTTTTGAACCTTACACTCTAAGTGATGTTCTGTGATGTTTCTATTGTGAGGGAGAACGGGAAAACACCACTGGGAAAGCATAGATCATAACCTGGTTGTTCAGATTTCAGGAGGAGAACAGAATAGAGAGCTCATCTACCTCCCTTATTTTAAAGCAGCAACAACCCCTGCCTGTTCTGAGAAATAGTAAGATAACAGCATGAACAGAGAACAGATCCTGAGATGTGACAGGCATGAAAACTCAGAATTATCCCGAACATGCCCTTATTATTTAAGAGGTAACTAAAGTACCATATCTGTGTAAAGAATTATTTGAGCTCACTTTTTTTTTTTCTTAAAGACTTACTTATTATTACTGGAAAGTCAGATTTACAGAGAGCAGGAGAGACAGACAGATCTTTCATCCACTGGTTCACTTCCAAAGTGGCTGCGGTGGCTGGCACTGACCTAATTTGAAGCCAGGAGTTCTTCCAGATCTCCCAAGTGAGTCCACGTCCCAAGGTTTGGGCCATCCTCGACTGCTTTCCCAGGCCACAAGCAGGGAGCTGGATGGGAAGTGGAGGAGCCGGGATACAAACCAGCACCCATGTTGGATCCCAGTGCATGCAAGGCGAGGATTTAGCCACTAGGCTACTATGCCTATACTATCTCACTGTCCTTAAAAAACCATGGAAACAGATGTGAAACGTTATTTCATTACCCACTGTAAGTACACTTGATCTTAGCCAAAAGGCCGAGAAGCGATTACCCACTGTAAGTAGATTTCCACTGATTCCTCAAGGTTTCCTAGTTGACAAGTTTTACTCTGCAAGGAACCAATGACCTTCAGCGAGATTACTTCAATAGAATGCAATATATCATATGTCTAATGAGTTCCTTTTCTGCAAGGTAATAATATATATATATTCAAATGGTGGGTAATAAAAATAAGTGTTTGGGTGATTCAAAGGGAAAACACGGAAAGATTGGGTGCAGGGAAAGCTAGAATAAGATCGTGGTGGGAAGATGCTCCACGGGGCAGGCAGTATTTGGAAGGAAAAACCAGGTCATTGGGAGATATTGGGTGAATTTGATCCTAAAGTAATGAGAATGTTGGGCCCAGCGCCATGGCCTAGCAGCTAAAGTCCTCACCTTGAACACGCTGGGATTCCATATGGGCACTAGTTCTAATCCCAGCAGCTCCACTTCCCATCCAGCTCCCTGCTTGTGGCCTGGCAAAGCAGTCGAGGACGGCCCAAAGCCTTGCGACCCTGTACCCGTGTGGGATACCTGGAAGAAGTTTCTAGATCCTGGCTTTGGATTGGCATAGCATCGGCTGTTGTGCTCACTTGGGAGTGAATGATCGGACAGAAGATCTTCCTCTCTATCTCTCCTCTCTGTATATCCGCCTTTCCAATAAAAATAAAATAAATCTTTTAAAAAAAAAATGAGAATGTTGAAAACTGTTCATGGGTCTGGTGCGATAGCGTAGCAGCTAAAGTCCTCACCTTGAATGCGCCGGGATCTCACATGGGTGCTGGTCCTAATCCCAGCGGCCCCACTTCCCATCCAGCTCCCTGCTTGTGGTCTGGGAAAGCAGTTGAGGACGGCCCAGAGCATTGGGACCCTGCACTTGTGTGGGAGACCCGGAAGAGCTCTTGGCTCCTGGCTTCGGATTGGCTCAGCTCCATCTGTTGCAACCGTTTGGGGAGTGAACCATTGGCCTGAAGACCTTCCTCTCTGTCTCTCCTCTTCTCTGTATATCTGCCTTTGCAATTAAAAAATCTTTTTTTTTTAAGAAAACAGTCCATTTGAATTTCAATGGAGACCTTTATAAGTGTAGCTTCATATTTCAGATTTTAAAGGAAAACTCCCCAAGTAATCCAAATACCAATCTCTGTTATCTTCTCCCAGGGTTAAATTGTTAAATAATTTGATATCTTACTAAGGTACCCTCATTTATTACTGGTTGGAAGATCCCAGACTTCCGTCAACTCTATTGACAAAAAAATCTGGATATTGGTAAGAACTCTGGGCACTTCCTCTTGCTAATACAAGTATCCTCCAGTGTGCAGCCTCTTGGTGATTTCATATGCAGAAGTGTTAAAAATAGTGCTCAGAACTCAGCTGCCAAATGCTCTCCTACAAGCAAAAAGTTTCACATCACTCAGGCCTCTGGGGGCTCCTTCCTCAGCTGGAGCACAGCCAGCAGGATCTGCTACTGCAAGTGCCCTTGGGCACATCAGGACCTGCTGGGACAGCGACTCCACCGACTCCACCACTGTTGATTTAGGAGAGGGCTGGAGGGCTGAGTCTCTGCTGACGTGTGCAACTTGTCGGAAAATCCTGCTGCACTGATTGCAAAGAAGATTCTGTCATCACGATTTCTTTGGTCATGTACTTTTTCTCATCTTTAATTCTTCATTAGGGCTTTGGGTGCTTCTGAGCCTCTGTTTACGCTGTTCAACTGCTGGTGCAGGAAGCTCTTGATAAGCTTCTGCCTGCACATGCATGCGCATTCGTAGAGTGATGCATGGGTATGGCCTACGAGCCTCAACGCGCACAGCCCCGTTCACAGGAATTACTGCACACTCCCGCACTTGCCCCTTGCTGCTGCCTGCATAAGAGGAAGGGTTTTGCTGCTGAAGGGAAGTCAGTGGGCTTTTGGGTCACATGAATTTCCTGAGAATGTCCTGCATCAGCAGTGTGGTCCTGCACCCTCCTTGTCCAAAGTTGACATACATACATACATACAGACGTTGCCCCAACACAATGCTGTAACCTCTGGGCCAGGACAGTCCAAATTACAACGTCCAAATTGGACATGAGGCTTTTCATCTTTAAATCCTGACACTTCCACTGGCCTTAGGCTCTCCTCACATTGGAATTCTGTCATCTTCCTGAGTAACCATCCCGATGATTAATGTTACGGGTCAGTTGGAATGAAGGATGCCTAAAAGCTGGTAGAACATATCTCTAGGTTTCCACGTGGATGTTTCTGGAAGAGATCAATGTTTGAATGATCGACTGAATTAAGATTCCCCTTAGCAATGTAGGCAGGTATCCAATCATGGGAAAGCCTAAACAGAATAAAAAGGCAGAGGGAGGGTGAATTCACTTGCCTGCGGCTGTGGCATCTGTGCACTGTCCTCCCAGTCTGCTGCCCCTGGTTAACAGCAGCCCCTCCCAAGGCCTTCAGTCTTAGCCTGACCTAGTTGGTTCCAACGTGCTTGGTGGGACTGGAACTGCACCGTCTGCTCACCTGGGGCTCAAGCTCCACATCTTGGGACCTATGTTGTGTCTCTGTGTCTGGATCTGTCTCTAGAGACACCTACCTAAACCAGCGACATTCTGCAGGCAACCTTGAGGAATGCCTGGTGTGGCTGCAGGCAAAAAGGCAGGTGATTACAAAGCAGAGTGACAACCCATCTTGGATTTGTGCCTCTAGCCCCTGCATATGTTCCATCTGCTCCAGCTCTCACCCTCCATTGTCTGCCTCCCCCAGCCCAGACATTATGTTCTGCTCCAGAGGAGTTTTCTACCCATCACATAACCACTTAGTATCACACCTAGTCGGTTAGCCCTGTATTTTCCTTCCTCCCCAGACCCGCAAGTTTCAGCTGTGGTGCATTTCATTCAGCTTGTCCTCAGCGCCGCAAGAAGGGCCCTTGAATGCATACGCCTCCAGCGAATATGAGAATGAACCAATCAGTGCAAAAGTGAATGCGCCTCCCAGTCCGGGAGGCTTGCAAGGTGCTTCTCCAAGCTGCTTTTACTTACAATGCCCAAGGCAGCTCCCCTGGGTTACTCGGGAGCGGGCAGGCATTTCGAAGGCCGTGGGGGAACTCCTTGGAAGGAGCGTGAGACTGCTCGCCGCCGCGTCCCCGGAGTTGCAAGGCAGAAGACAAACTTCTTCACCTCCCGGAAGCCGCCCCGCCGGCCTTGCCCTGCCCCGCCCCGCCCCCGGAAGGTGGGCGTCTCCCCTCATGAATAATACATCGCCGCCGGGGGAGGGGCCGGGCCCGCCCCCTCGGGCGGGAAGGGGGAAGCGCCGAGGCTGCCTGACTGGAATGAGGGTAGCGGCGGCGACTGCGGCGGCGGGAGCGGGGCCGGCCATGGCGGTGTGGACGCGGGCCACTAAAGCGGGGCTGGTGGAGCTACTCCTGAGGGAGCGCTGGGTCCGAGTGGTGGCCGAGCTGAACGGGGAGAGCCTGAGCCTGACGGGCGACGCCGCGGGAGCCGACGCGGAGCCCTCTCTGGGGCCGGCTGCAGCCGCCTTCAACGGCCTCCCGAACGGCGGAGGCGCCGGCGACTCGCTGCCCGGGAGCCCGAGCCGCGGCCTGGGGTCCCCGAGTCCGCCGGCGCCTCCGCGGAGCCCCGGGGGTGAGGCGGGCGCGTCGCCGCCCGTGCGCCGGGTGCGGGTGGTGAAGCAGGAGGCTGGCGGCCTGGGCATCAGCATCAAGGGCGGCCGCGAGAACCGGATGCCGATCCTCATCTCCAAGATCTTCCCGGGGCTGGCGGCCGACCAGAGCCGGGCGCTGCGGCTGGGCGACGCCATCCTGTCGGTGAACGGCACAGACCTGCGCCAGGCCACCCACGACCAGGCCGTGCAGGCGCTGAAGCGCGCGGGCAAGGAGGTGCTGCTGGAGGGTGAGCGGGGCCGGCTGTCCGGGGCGGGAGGCGGCGGCCTGGGCCGGGCCGGGCTGTCCGGAGCTTACTTTTGTTTCTGCACCCCACCTTGGCGAGGTTGACCCAATCCTTCCTTCTGTCCCCCCCGCCCAGACCCGGGTTTGCTGGGAGTGTGAGGATAGGAAAACTGATGCGCCTTGCAGGAAAAGTTGGGCGGCCGCCCAGGTGGGGCTGGCAGCCCCCGGGTCAGACTCGGCGGCGGAGATTTAGCCAAAGGCGGCGACGCTAAGCTGACACTAAGAACTCCGATTCTGAAGTATGCCTGCTCCTGCAGGAGTGCCGACCTGGCCCTTCCTGCACTCAGCTCCGGCCCCCCGGAGCGGGCCGGTGGGTGTAGTTTCCAAAACAAAAACAAAAACACAAGCATACACAAATAAACGAAAACCCATCCCCACCAATGCCAGCAGTATGCTTGGGCAAACCACCAAAACGCTGGTTAATGGACGGGAATTTAACCCATCATTGGCTCCCAACAATAGCCAGAGGAGATCGTAGCGCTCCATGGAAGCCAGAAAGCTGAACCAGCAAGTCTGTGTGGTTAATGAGCCTTGTGGAACCGTGGAGGCTCACGTGTTTTCAACACTGACTGCCAAGTAGAGTTCTGCCCCCTCTCGCAAGACTGCCAGCTTGCTTACCTCTCAGGCCTGCGGGTCCAAAACTCATGCTTTGTGTAAGCGTCCTTCAAGAGAATGTTTAAACAGTCAGGATTACTTGTTCCTTTCAGTGTTTGTGTGATCTCTAAGTTGGATCTTTTAGGATGAGTATGTGGAAATGAGGCGAAAATAAACCTCTCTGCCGTCGCTCTGTTGGAGGTGAGATTGCTTCCTTGAGAAGTTGAACTGCGGATTGAATCCTTGTGTTGTTGGCTGTGTGGGATAAAGGACAGTGTTGTCCTCCTTTGGTCTCTAGTTGGGGAAATGATAGAAGAATGTCAAACCTTTGGGGAGGAAGAAAGAACCAGGTTTTTAATGTTGCAGGGCAAACTTCCACGAATGCCACAAGAATGTAAAGTTAAGAAAGGAGACGTTTAATGGAAATAAAATTAGACGGGGATGCTGAATTTTGAACCAGGTCTCTGGGGATGGACATCTACCGGCAAAGATGAGTCAGGGGTTCTTGTTATTCCTGGCAGAGAAGGAATAGTGGGGAAAGGCTGGGATGGGGCTGGGACCAGCCCAAGTCCAAGTGAGAGACCAGAGGTCTTAACTTGACAAAATGATTTTCACTTTTTTGTAGATCCTCTTGCAAATATTTGGAAAAGTATTAGTTTTGCAGTGAAATGATTTAAAGCATGCACCAGTTGTGAAATTCCTTTGCCACCCTCCCCTCCTTTTTAATGCCCTATTTATAAATTTTATTTATATCCTACTTAGAGGTGGGGCTAGACACTGCTCGGAAACTAGTGTTAATAAAAGGAGTAAAATTATGCGTTGTGGCTTAGGTATGTGTCAAGAAAATACCTTCCTAAATATGTACCTTAAAATTGGTCTAGCTAAGCAGTTGGCTATAAATTTATAGAACTACAGTATTGGGTTTAGTACTATTTATGTAGTACTCCCTGGAATTAGGCATTTCAACCTTTTACTCCATATTTTAAAAACCAAAACATGAGTTTTTATTTAGATACAATTTGGAACTCAGTTCATACTAGGAAAATGAAAACCACCTAGTAAATGCTTCCCCAGTATGCATTAGTTTAAATGAGGCTGCCTGCCCTTTTACTAAGAGTGTTTGCAGATGACAGCATAAGTAATAGATTTATTAAATGCCTTTTCACCTAATACATAGATTCTATGTTTCCATTTTTTGTGAGACTAGCAGTTTGTCTTTATAGGTATGGGGAAATCAGTATGGTAGATTGATGAATTTTTTTAACCAAGGGGTTATAAAAGTAGAATTACTCAAAATATGTGAAATCACACATGCCAATCATTGAATTGAGCATTGTTTATATTTTAGAGCTGATGTCCCTTCCAGATGGGCTGTTTTTGAAAAAGAGACTTTTTCTTAATCCTTAAAATTTTTAAGCTTCACTCTGCTTTCATCAGGTGTCTTAAAGTTGAGAAAACAACTTTCACATGGAATAGTGTTGCTCTTCCGTGGTGTGGCAGGGAACTTCAGGCACGCTCCTGTCACCCTGCGCCAAGGGCAGTTATACGGTCTGTTTGCTTTTAGGGGACTGAGTTCAAGGGGTTCTTTTAATCTCAGGAATTGGTAAGGATTGTTGATTCTTTGGCTCATCACACCTTTATTCAACTTTTATCAAGTGCTAGACACTTGAAGCATCAGATTCCTGTCCTAAGGAAGTTGAGAGTTGAGGGGAGGGTTAACATGGACAGAAAGAGGAGGGGGCAATGCAGGCAAACTGGCTATAGAAGCTGTTAGAATAGAAGCCTAAAGAGGAAATGGCATAAAACAGGCGGGGATGCCGGTGGGTTCTTAATGGGACTAGGGTGAAGAAGTGCATTAGGGGAAGCTGAACTTTGTCTTGAGAGCCCTGTCAACAGTAAGGGCATGGAGAAGTTCTCTGACCAGCGAGGGTGCGATTGGCACAAAAGGGCTGAGTGGTCAGAAGCAGGTTTCTGGCTAGTGGTTTGTAACCCCTAGGCAATTACTTAATCTTACTCAACCTTAGTTTCCTCATAATACCAGGATGGTGATAATACCTCCCTTGAGGGATTGTTGCTCACTTGACAGTGAGTGTGTTGAATGCTTTTTTTAAGCACTGGGGAACACAGTAATGATCAACAGCAGAAACCAAATTTAAGCCAGTCCAGCCGCACTGGGTCCTTAAAGTACACCATGAATGAACAAAAGGACCTTCTCACAAAGCTAGGATAGCAAATTATTAGAAATAAAATCCAGACCTCCATTTTACCTGAGAAGAAATACATGAATTATTTTCGGTGAATAGGTTAAAAACGAGTTTAATTTTGTTTCTCTGTTTTTATCTACTGTCTCACATGTGCTAGCATTTTTATTCAATTTTCTTCTCTCTGAGGGTGAGATTCCCTTTTCACATTTACTACTCAGGTCCTTAACATTTGCCATTGAATAAGTGTCAGTGGTCTAGGCTGCTGACTGAGCATTGATGGTAAGTCATGCAGGATAGAGAGCTTTTGCATTAACACAGATAGTAAGCATAAAGGGGTAACTGCTCACCTGACAGATATTGTAGATTGGATTTCTGTGTCCTTCGTAATGTAAGTAGTGTATCTAGGAGGTTTCTAGGTTTTGTGTCTTAAGGCCTTGATACCAATGAAAGAAACATGAATTAGACAACTCATTGAAAAATTTTCTAGAGGAGCTTTGGGAAGATGGTATGGAGTATTCAGCTTGAGATCTGAGCAAAGATCCATACTTTTGAAACAGTTGTCAGTGGAGTATTTGCATTTGGAATGGTTTGAGATTCTGAGTGTTCATATAATGTAATTTTTTATGTCAGGAGATTTTAAACAAAAACAACTGGTAATATTAGACTGCTGAGTTAAGGAAGCTGGTTTGGATTCCCACAGCTACCTTTTCTTCATTGTATATTGGACTAGTTTCCTAGGGAAGACATTAACATATTTGTTGCCTTGAAATCTATCTCTAAGAGAGCAACTGAATCCTTGACTGCTGGTGTTTTGTGTTTCTTTGTTGTTTTTGTTGTTATAAATATTTATTTATTTGTATTGGAAAAGTCGGAGAGGAAGATCTTCCATCCATTGATTCTCACTCCCCAAATGGCCGCTGCGTTGGTCAGAGCTGAGCCCATCTGAAGCCAAGCGCGTTCAAGGAGAGGACTTTAGCCACTAGGCTAGGGTGCCGAGCCCTTTGTGTTTCCTTTTAATTAGCCTCTTTATGTTTCACTTGAATGACTAAACTCACTTACATGAGAAGCTGCCTTTGTAACCAGATTCTTACAGTTGCCTTGGTGTTGCAATATGCCCTCCAAATTATTTCCAAAATATTGAGAAGTTGATTGATTCCAACACAGGATGTGAACATTGTAAGAATACCTTAAGAGACCATAAACACTCTGCAGCACTTCAGCTGATGTATATTCCCTGCTGGGTAGTCTTTCCCAAACAAAGGTTACTTTGTGATCAGGGATGTGTCTTGTTTATGAGATGAGGTGCAGCCTGTGGCTGTGGAACTATTTTCTGCTCTTTGAGGCTGGCTCTTAAAGGATTGTTTCTGGCTAGGTTCACCCACTAACCTAACTGAATAGCAAACAGCTTTGCTTGCTTGGATTTGTCTTTTTTTTTTTTTTTTTTAATTTATCTGTTTTATTGGAAGGGTTGATTTACACAGAGAAAGAGACAGTGTGATCTTCTATCTGCTGGCTCATTCCTGAGATGGCCACAACAGCCAGAACTGAGCCAATCTGAAATCAGGAGCCAGGAGCTTCTTCTGTCTCTCCCACAAGGGTGTAGGGGCCCAAAGCTTTGGGCCATCCTTCACTGTCTTCCCAGGCCACAAGTAGAGAGCTGGATGGCAAGTGGAGCAGCTGGGACAAACAAGCATCCATATGAGATGATGACACTTGGAGATGGAGGATTAGCCCGTCCAGTCACTGTACCGATATCAGATTTGTCTTATTCACAAAGCAAAGACTGTACATATTATAGGGTATGTAATATTTTGGTATATGTATAGATTGTATAATAATTATATCAGGATAGGCATGTCCATCTTCTCAAACAGTTATTATTTCTTTCTGTTAACAACAGTCCAGTTTCTTTCATCTGGCCTTTTTGAAACTTCTCATACATTATTATCCGTATATGCATTTTTATCAGTATTTTCTCATTGATTTTTGTATTTGTCTTTTAGTAAAAATTGTTTATCATTGTTTAAAGTTATTTAAACTGAAGTCAGTGCCATGGCATAGGAAGCTAAGCCTCTGCCTATGGCACGGGCATCTTATATGTGCACCAGTTCATGTCCTAACTTCCCCACTTTGATTCAGCTCCCGC